CCCCAAGCTCCTGAGGGAACCCTCCTCTTTACCACTTGAGCTGGGTCAGCCCCACCAGGAGCTTTAGCATTTCCTCTGTAGAATCTCCTCCAATGGCTTCCACTTCTGTTTTCACTGTGTGTGTGTCTTTGCTCCCCCTGGGAGGGTTAGCAGGTGCCTTGGACAGCAGGGAAGGGAGGACCATCAGCCATGTGCAGAGGTTTTACGTCAAGTCCCCGAGCTGGCTCCTGGAATGCAGAAGTAGGTGGGTAATAAAGCCTGGAATGTCTGAAGAAACCTTTTGTAGCATGGACGTCCCAGAGTCTTTGATGCTGTGGAAAAACACGGATGAATTTATACTGAAGGGCTCAGAATCTGCAGCAGGCTTCTCATTTATCAACTAATTTTATTGAGACTCAGCCGTGTGCCTGGCACTAGGTAGAAGAGGATGAGTAAGATGTGACACCAGCCACAGCCCAGAGGGGACACACATCTTGCACTTTTCCTGACGAGGCTGCACTGAAGGTGTTAGAAACCAGTTACGCAGTCAGGCTTGAGGGCAGCAGAGAGGGAGTGGTAGATTATGGCTGGGGATGGAGGTGCTGGGGCTTCTTAAAAAGACTAATATTCCATCTGGGCCCAGAAGAATGGACAGGCTTTTCCTGGGTCAAGAAAGGGAGACAGTGTTCCTGGTGAGGGAATTTCCCAGAAGTATAAAAATGCACAGCATTTTCCAGAGGTGAAAAGTCTAGCTTCTCATGGAACCTAGGTGAGCAAGGGTCAAATTCCTCAGGGCCCAATTAAAAAAAAAAAATTCCTAGAGCCTTACAGACCAGGCTAAGGAGTTTGGACTTTATCTTGTGGGGAACTGGGAGCCAGTGATGGGGATTAAGTAACAGCCAGTAACAGCGGGCTCACTAGGGTGAGCACGTTCTCAAAAGCTTCTTGGCCAGAACTGGTGAGGTAAGAAACTGGCATCTCACCTAGCATGAGGCTGGTACCCACACCCACACCCACACCCACACAACTGAGTCAGGACCGTCCCCACTTTCTCCACCCTGTTCCCCCAAATCAGATAACTCAGACAGGCTGGCTTTCTATCCTTCAGTGAGTGTGTCCCGAGTGACATGTGACATAGTGAGACCGGACAGGCCGGTCCACAGGGAGATTCCTTCCAGGCAGGCAGTGGAGGCCTCAAGGAAGATTGGGTGGGGCCGAGCTAAGCCAAACACCTGCTGCCCTTGGGCACCTGACTGCTAGGAGTGCAACTCGCCCCACTTGCCACACAGAAGCTGCTTCCCCAGCCCCAGTTCCCCGTAGAGCGCTGGGCTAGCTCCTACAAGCTGGCGAGTGCCACCTGGTCCATTTTCAGGACTTTGGTGAGCTGATTGCTAAACACAGCTGTTATTACAAATTAAATTCTATGGACTAACAAGTGATTTAAAATAGAGGTAGAAAATAAAACCCACCACTTCCTTAGTGTTTTCTACACTATTAGCTATGTTCTTGAGGTTACCAACATCATTGCATATGGATGGTGGACATTCACTGGAATGAGCTACTGTCCATCTCTCCCCAACTCTGTGTTCAGTGACCCTACGTAGTGGGAATATTTACACTGCAGAAATTGGTAAATGCTACATACCAGAGCTCTTTCTGCAGAGAGCCGATTGTTCAGCATCAGCCAGCCCACCACCACTAACGTCTGCCCCCTGCTTTGCTGGCTCCCTGTGGAAGTGCACCCACCCTTTCCAGACCTGTTCTGTCCACTTCCAGCAGCCACCACAGCACAGTGGGTCTTGTCAGGTTAGTGTCTTGTCAGATGGGGTTCAGGAAGGTGTGGGGACCTTACCAGGACCCCTGAGGATTTACTTAGTCTTGTTATGGGGATGTCTCCTTGGGCAACCAGGGTCTCATATAGTGGACAGGCTCCCAGGGAGGGGATGGCCTGATCCCTGGGGTAGGCAATTGAAGAGGGACCTTGCCTATGTCAAATGGACAAACTCCAAGCAGCCTCCTGTTCCAGGTAATAGGCTGGACATCGCTCCAAGGCACCCAGTTCCTGAATGCCACCACATAGCCAGGTACCCTCTAGGGAATACTCGTTTATGGAAACAAGAACATGCCAAGTGGACAGCTGGAGCCAGCAACATGCCTTCTTACTATTCACCAACATTAAAGCCCTATCTCTGGGTCGCTGAGACTCAGGAATATCTTCATGACCTTGGAGTTGATAAAGGAGAGATTTATCAAAAGGACATTTTTTTAAAAACTAAAGGAGAATGCTAAAGTGAACTTTTGGTAAATTGGGACTTCATTAAATTTAAGAGCATCTGTACCTTAGAAGACAACACTGATAGAATAAAAAGGCAATTCACAGACTGAGAGAAGAAACTTGTAATACTTAAACCTGACAAAGGGCTCATATCCAGAATATGCAAACAAGCCATTTAAAAACTGGCAAAAGACTTGAACAGGCACTCCATGAAAGAGGATATGCCATTGACCCAGTTAGCCTATGGAAAGGTATGCAGCCTTATTAGTATTAGGGAAATTAAAATTAAACACCACAGTGAACTATCATATACCCACAAGACTGGGTAGAATGTTAAAAACAGAATGACAAGTGTTGATATGGATGCAGAGACACTGAAACTCTCATGGGCATGTAAACTGGTACTACCTCTCTGGAAACAGTTTGGCAACATCTACTAAAGGTGAACATACACCTACCCAATTATCCCAGAGTTCCCAGCAATGAGTGGATTCACGCACCCAAGGACACATACCAGGATGTTCATTACCGCTTTATTCATCACAGCCCCAAAAGGGAGACAACACAATCGTCCATCAGTTATGAACTCAAGGATATTCACACCATGGAATACTAGGCAGCAGTGATAAAGGACATCGTCCACTGTGCACTAACTAGGACATGAATAAATCCCACCGTTGGAGCCCAGCACCAAAGAGCACATGCCTCGTGAGTTCAGTTTTGTAGAGGGCAACGCAGCTGAAACGTTAAAAAAAAACAGCTTAAACTGACCTCTGGGATAGAAACCAGGATGGTGGTTTTCTCTAGGAGGTGGTAGGGAAAAATGCTCCCTAGCCTCTGAAGTTTAAAAATCAAAATCATCTCCCCTGATGCAATGAGAACTTCTGCTTTGCCTTTTGGAGGTAGAAACTTTGAGGACAGGTAGTAAGTCCGAGGAGCCCCTGCATTCCTCACTGTAACCCACCCCACTTCTCCCCAGCCGCCAACTGGGCAGGAACCCAGGGAAAGCCCAACCAGGGGCTGATCCACAGTGGCGATTTCATTGTGGTGTCAAGTAAGATTCCCACTGGCAACTCTGCTTTTCATCTCTTTTTAATTGTACTTATTTATCAATTTCTTAACTCTTACCATGTACTAGGTGCACTGTTCACAGAAGGTCATTATAAGTTTATTGTGTTGCCCATTCATTCATTTAGCCCATTGGGGTCTTAAAATAACAGCTTCTTTTTCATATATCCCAGAGATCTTTACAAATCAATACATAGAGAGCATCCTCATTCTTTTTTTTTTTTTACAGTTCCTGAGCATTCATTTGTGTGTATATACCATAATTTATTTATCTTGGGTTGTCTTCAGTTTCTAACTATCAAAATGCTATAATGAATAACCTTATATATGCACTGCCAAGTTGGTGGCAGAACTGAGATTTGAAGCCAGATCCTGCATTACGCCAAAGCACATGGCTTAGTAGAGTCTCGTGACCCTCCAGAACCAATTCACCTTAAGAGACCGGTAGAAGTAATGAGGCCCCAACCTGAGCCCAGTGAATCAATCTCTGGCCCCTAGACTGGCCTGAGCAATAGAAGCTTCCACAGCAGTTGTTCAAAATTCGATTCCAGGCCCCACCTGGCACTACAGGGCCAGACTTCCGGCCCTGCACACAGTAGGTACACACAGCCTGTCTGGGGATGGAAGGAGATCTGGCTGCCTGACAACTCTTCTTCCTTTGGGGAGGTAGGGGAGTCCGTCACTTCCTTCTGGGCTCTGGGCAAATGTAAGTCACCTCTTCTGGGAAGCCCTCTCTGACCACCCCAGCTTACCGGAACTGCTAACACCTTTGCCTTGCCTCGGTTGGCTTCCTTGCGTTTCTAGGTCTTAAATATGGACTAGGATGAACCATATGGACTTGTCCTTTATGTAGGTTAAAAATAGTTGAAAATGGGATATTTCATCCAGTCCATTTAAATACTTCCCTCTATCAGAATGTCAGCTCTGGGAGGGCTGGAGATGTTTGTGTTCACAGCCCAGTCCTCAGACAAAGCCTGGCACACAGTAGGCACTCAGTAAATGCTGGGTATGTGCTTGAGGGAACCCGACCACCCCAGGAGCTCTGCAGCCCACACACCGGCCCCCACGTGGAGCTGGAGGGAGCTGGAGGGACCGGGGCGCCGCCCTGTTCCACGCAATCTCGGGCGCCTTCCCGGTAGCGGCGGCCGGGCGGCGGGGTGGGGCTCGCCGTCATCTATTTACCAGCCTCGCCCCTTCGACGGGCGCGCCG